CATTACACTCATCTTCTTTCGCACTGTCATACTTACTCCCCCAATGTTGTCACACATTCATGCCATACTCACCACCCATCGCTCTTCCATATTCACCCTATTACACTCACCTTCTCTAGCACTGCCACACTGCCCCCCAATCCACTTACTTTCTCAATCACTCTGTCACACTGCCACACTCACCCTATCTTATTAACTGTTCCAATTCTGTCATAGTCAACCTCCCAACACATGCCGCACTAACCCCGCCTCTGCTCTGTACTTTTATCTTTTTCAGATTTATGGAGGAATAATATATTTTGTTTGTGCAAGTATATGTATAGGTTTCATTTTGTAATTTCCACATTGGTGATTGTGCTACACCTGTTTATATCACCAGTAAGAGCAGTAAGTCCTTCAAGTATGCAATATGCGTTTCACCCCTCTGGTGGGCTTCCTCAGTTATTGTGGTTGGCTCTATGTTCTGTCCTTCATTGACGTAGTTGAATGCCCACCGTTTCCAGGTGTCTTGAATTGCGGAGATTTACTTCCTGTTCCGGTTTTGCGTTCCATATTGGGACGCAACGTATGTGCGCGTCTGACGTACTTCCGGTTTTCTTCTTAAGAGTTGGAATGCATCCTTGCGTTTGATCCACTTCCTGTATTCCGCTTGTATGTGCCTTCTTATTTGGAATGCATAGATGCTTTCCACTGCCTACCTTATGGTTCCCTGTTCTATTGTCCATGATAGAACATGGCAAAATGTATAAGGTGGGAAGAAAGGAAGAGGAGAGAGATAATGAATGAGACATTTGGCATAGAGCCTCTAAATGTCGTTAAAACACTCTTTTATAAAGTTGTTTTGGCAATAGCACATAAAAATACATGTGTTATATAAATACATTGACAAAGCAATTGGTGTGAAAGGATAAATATTAAAACATAAGAAAGCATGTATAAAATCTATTAAATAATATGAGGCAGATAGCTTGAATAGTCAATGGCATTAGTTGTATTTTACAAAAACTGTATAGATGTTTCAAATATTATTAAAAATGGCAGACTTCTAAATTGGAATGTGTGTGAAAATTAAATATACATCTAATTTCTTCTCTATCTATTTTTTCACATAATCACCTCCCCAGAGAAGACATTTAGTGGATATAGGGAACATTACCAAAAAAACATATATTATAAAAGATCATCTGATGTGTCATTCCAAAGGAGTGATATATATATTGAAATGTGCATGCAACTTACTATATGTAGGTAGAACCATTTGACCACTTAAGGTCCGAATTGCTGAACATGTCAGAAATATAAAAAATGGGTTAGAAAAACACAGCATCTCTCTGCACTTTAAATTAATGCATAACCAAAACCCAGAAGGCCTATTTTGTGCAATAAAAGAAGTAAAGAAAGACTGGAGGGGAGGTGAGGTGGAGGGGAGGTGATTATGTGAAAAAATTAGGTAGAGAAGAAATGACATTTATATTTAATTTTCACACACTAATTCCGTATGACTGAAACTCCAATTTTGAAGTCTGCTATGTTTAATAATATTTAAGCCTATAGGGAACCAAATATTGTATTTATTTTAGATTTGTGCTATCGTTATAGCATTATTAGTTTTTAAGAAATATTTAATAATTACCACATAATACACTGGTTAGGGGTTATTAAGACCAGGAACCAACTTTTTAGAGATGGGTTTGAAACATCTATACAGTTTTTGAAAATACAACTGAAGCCATTCACTATTCAAGCTATCTGTCTCATATTATTTAATATTTTTTATACATGTTTTGTGACGGACCGCCTGGCACTCCGACCGAGTGCCTCCACCAATCAATGCTCCGAGTGCTCACCGAGGAATTCCAGCACTCCACCATAAGAACTGCAGACCCCACTTCCAGCGATGCAGTTACCCCGGGGTCTCTACGTACTTCACCCACCCTGGACCAAGATCAGGATCCAGCTTCCAGTGGGCAGAACTCTCCTACTCCCAGAGAGCGTAGCAGGAACAGCCCTTATAAGAGCTAGTGATTCTAATTCCTGGGGAGTATATAGCAATCCCCAGGATAGATACAGTCATTTCCCCCACACATGAGATGAGACTCTATGTTGAACGTAAGCAGGAACAGAGTTTTAATGAAGGCACACTGGCCTTTTATGCAAGTTTCCCAACAAGGGGGACACCCCAATAAAAACAGAGTCATACAGTGAGACACTCCCATACACAAACAATAGAATCAGGAACTGTACTAATTTAACCCAACTATCTCCAAGCACAGAAAAACATAAAACTTTATGAAACACCAAAAAGTGCCTTTTAAAACACATAAAACTCTATAAAAGTTACATCCTCTGATAGCCCCGGTCTGGGTGAACAACATATCCAAAAATCACCCAGATCGGTTCAGGGGTTCAGGAATTTCCTGGAAGTCATAGTTTTGACCGACTGTGCACATGGTCCTATACCCAAAACAGTTCCAGGGATATCAGTGCATCTATGCGTTCCAAATAAGAAGGAACATACAAGCGGAATACAGGAAGTGGACACTATTACGATGGAACGCAAGGATGCGTTCCAACTCTTAAGAAGAAAACCGGAATTATGTCAGATGCGCACAATTCAGGACACCTGGAAACGACAGGCATTCAACTTCTTAAAAGAAGGACAGAACATAGATCAGAACACAGCAACTGAGGAAATCTTTGTGCACTTTATGGAAAATAAAGCCCTTATATGAATCATTGAATTGGTGACTACTATCAATGAGCTAAAGTTACTGCAGCATAAAAAAGGGAGTGGGACCCTACAAAATCCCACCATGCTGATATCTTGAGCCGAGAATTTACTGAATCTTTCCTTGTGAGTGTAAATACATATTTCTATACCCTCCTATTTTTTTATTCAGACAATATTGCGCTAGTGTTTGTTTTCCTTTTTCTTAAATATAGTATTACACTCCTTAAAGATTCAAGCATTCAGAGACTATATGTAAGATACTCCACCTTGTATATATTTGCATTGTGTATTTGTTGGTGTGGGTTAAGGGAATCCCACTTTGGTGTCAGAGTATCTAATCTCATTCTTCAGACCTACTATGACTTTGTATTTGTTTTTGTTTCAAAAGGTTGGTCACGCATGCCTTAAGGGCATATAAATTCTAATATTAGATCCCTACCGAGTTGCCTATAGCAGGAGGTGTCTGACAGATGGATCATGCACATTTCAATATACTGTTGTACGTTAAGGGACACAAAGTGAATGACGATTTTATAATCACATCAGCAAGATGTTGTAACTCAAAGAGGGCATTTCTTTCAATTTTTGTAAGGTTCTGTTCTGATGAATAATCAATAGGAAAGGTTATTACATCAATACACATACACATCAATACACATTTGAATGAAAAAATCAACACTAGAAACCTCTTTTAACTTTGAACTGAATCAACTCAGTGGTTTATGATGTGTTAGAGTGCATGAAGTATCCTATTTGGACCCCAAAAGTGAGATCCAATTCCTTAGCATTTTTTTGCTTTTTGTGTAACACATGTAAGACTAGTTTGTGACCAAATTAGTTAATATCCTTTGTCCATTTGAACAAGTTGGTGGATGGAGTTATTTTAAGTTGTAAGTGTCTCAGTTCAAGATCAAAATCAGAAAGGTTTATTACTTTATTATTACCAATATTTTGATTGATGGGAAAATCTTTGTTGTCTTTCCTGTCTCAAAATTGTTCCCTCTGAGATCAGGGCCACTCCTGGTCTACAAAAGAGGAGGATGAAAGAGGAATGGGGGTGCAATCAGAGTTAGAAGTACTTGAAGGTATGTTAGGAACCATTCCAACTTTTTGGAGACATTGAGTGGTGACCACAAAGAAAGACTGTAAAAATCAAGTGGAGGCATTTGAGCTGTTTGGTTCTGACAAGCACCCGTGGTATACCTCCACTAGGTAATCTTAACCAAAAAATTAATTATTTTGGAAGAACATTCTATACCTGTTTTAAGTGTCTCAATGCCAAAGCCCTATGCTCCAATTGAATAGTCAAAACTGATATTTTCTATACCTGTTTTAACCATGTCCAGCAATAAAATATCTAAACTCAGACTTCTAGGTAACATTTTCTGATCAATGTATTGTCTCAGGCTGGCTAACTCCCAAAAGATCCTTATTTGGATTTTCATCATTTTTTAATAATATAAAGGGGATGATTGATATCCTTATTATCGTGATTGAGATGTAAAGGATTGGTTGAAAAAACATTGGCTATATCCTCTAAACCATGTCAGGATAAACATGTTTGGTGAGAAATTCAGCCATTCCTACATATAGGATCTTGGAAAACGAAATACCTAGTCCCTAACAGCTCTAATTCATTATACAGACTGATAAATATGAACAAAGTCCTCATTGTGCACAGAATAGGTACTAGAACCAAATTGTTTAGAACTTCAATAAGTAACAAAAACAGGGAGGCTTTGTCAAGCTGAACAGGCACATTAGAGATAACTCCTAAATAAATGAATTTACAACTAAACAAGGCATCAGTATAAAAAGTTACTTTTAATTCATGATTTAAAACTGATTATGTCACAATAGTCATAGATGTATTAATGTTAGTGTGATATTCCATGTATAATGGATAGTCAAGGAGGTATTTGCTAGGAAGAGAAAAAGTATGTCAAAATTAATCAAGCGCACATCACTAATACCCCATACCCACTATACCACAGCTATTAGCTAAGTGAATGTTTTAACCATAGAATATAGACAAGGAGAGTAGCGAGGCAAAAGAAAAACAAACATTCCTTGTGTGTAATAGATCCATGAATTAATTTTAGTGAGGACACATAACATCATCCCTCATGTCTAAGATACCACACACAAAGCACTAAAGTTCAGATATGTTGCCACAACCAGATTCTCATAGAGTAGTATGCTCTTATAAATAATTTATTAAAACATATAAAAGAGAAACACTCTTTTCACCGTTCAGGACCTAGAATGTGGGAGATGTTTGAGGTAAATGAGTTAGGCACACTTTTCAAAATTAGTAGCTATGTCTTTTTAGAAAGTTATTCACAAGGACATTTCTTATCTCACAGACCCTCCTCTTCTCTACTTTCCTCAATTCCTTTTGCTGTGTGCTTCACTACACCCATAGCTAAACCCTGCAAACATTTCCTTCCCGATAGTCTTATTCCAACTTTTAGGACAAAGAGTAGTGCACACAGAGAGATTTTAAAAATCTTTGCAGGCAGAGAGGGCGTTCAATAGGATTCATAGGGAAGTGTTGTCGCGTTTCAACTAGCCTGTTCTTTTCATCAGGGCTGTATTCACACTTTATTGCAGACCTACGGACAAAGTTTCGGTGGCTGGATTCATGTCTGAAACTTTTCAATTCTCCAATGGCACGAGACAGGGCTGTCCATTATCACCACTTTTATTCGTGCTGGAGATGGAGCCTCTGGCTGAATTGATACGTCAATCAATTGACATTGAGGGCATCTCTGTAGGAGATAAAGAACATAAAATTGGTCTATTTGCAGATGACATCATACTTTCTTTAAACAATCCTCTGACCTCACTACCTCCACTGATGTCTATTCTGCAATAATCTGGCAATATCTCTTATAAATTGAATACAGCAAAAACTCAAGCTCTTCAATTATTTATACCATGGTTTGATTTAGACACCATAAAGAAAATGCAAGATTTTGATTGGAGGGATTCATGTATATCCTATCTGGGCATAAACCTGTGCAAGAATCTGTCCAAGATGCATAGATGTAATTTAGAAAAGGTCTGGTCCGAATTTAGGATAGTGTGCTCTTGAAATTTCATGGTTAGGGAGAATTAATTTGGTCAAAATTACTCTCCTTCCAAAAATTATATATATACGTAGAACTATTCCCTTCCCTATAACACTATATTTTTTTTAGGAAAATCCACTCTGCCCTTGTTTAATTTATTTTGAAAAAAAAAAAAACCTGGAAGAATTTCGTTATCCATTATGCAAAAACCAAAGGTTGGTGGGGGTATGGGTTTACCAGATTTTATTAACTACTTTTACGTGACTAACGCAGCTATGGTTTTTAAATTTAACTTAGATAAGGCCATATCCCAATGGCTTGAGATGGAGGCATATAAAATTTGACCTCCCTCTATTAAAGATTTATTATGGTTGCCTTCATCTCAACGTCCTTGTCAAGGTTAGGTTCCCCAACACTCTAACTACAGGACTAACAGGCAAGCCAAGCTAGACGTATTACCAAAAATCAAGAAAAGTAAGGAGAGTAACAGAATAAATGAGCTGAGGTCAGGACAGGAGAAGGAAGAACAAATGAGAAACTAAGCCAAGGGTCAAGGAAGCCAGAAAATACGGATAACCAGAGACAAGCCGAAGTCAGATACCAGGAAACACACAAGTATACAGAACACACTCTCGGGCTACAATAGACCACGACAGGGCAAGGAAGTGATGTAGGAGGGAGGTATAAATAGGGCTAAGAGAGATCTGATAGGCTAGGGAAGAGAATAGGAGAGATTATAAAAGAGTTACCAGGATTCATGAAATTATGGTAGTATCATTTTAAGAGCTCAGCGGCAAACCGCGCGTGCATGCGCGCATTCCTGGTCGCGCGCGCAGCCGGGCACGTGCATGCACTGTCAGCCGTAAGCTAGCAGAGCCTGGAGGAGCAGAGCGGACGGCGGAACCGGAGCAGCGTGGGCCGCGAGGAGGTATGACAGTCCTAAGGTGACATACTTATTTCCCTCCACTAAATTAACCCTTCTGATGTGGAAACTTTTATTCAAGAAAATTTGACTGCATGCAATTATCAGCAGTACATGCTTTACCTGAATTGGATGTAGATTACTGGGCCTCCCATTTGATTGTCGATATTGATGATTTTTTTTCTTCCAATAGTCTTCTGCCTTTCGATCAACTATAAGAAAAATATAAATTGAGTTTAATTGATGCCCAAACACCTGAGAGGCTTGTGACAACAATTAGTGAACATTTTGCTCTTTCTGATCAGGATCCGAACTTGTTGAATTAGATAGGTCTATACTAGAAAACATTTATTAGATGGACCCTGGTAGGAAACAAAGCATCTCCATGTGTTTTAATACTTTTGCAGGTGACATGTATGATAAATTAAATTACATGAAGAAATGGGAGAGTGAGCTGGGTGGGATGTACATCGTAGAGGCGGGAATAATTTCTTATTATCATTAAAAGGTATCACTTAATGCACAAATCATTTGGAATCCCACTAAAAATTAATTTATAGATAGTGGTACCTAACCACTTCCAAACTTTTTAAATTAAACCTTAGTGAAAACAATAAATGTTGGAGAAACTGCAGTCACACTGGTACATACGTTACACATCTTCTATTTATGTCTCGAAATCAAGTCTTATTGGCTGAACATACTTTAATTATTTACATTTTAGAATTCAATGTAGTTTTATCCCTGTGTCTTTTGTCTCTTTAAGCAAATTCCATCTAACATGCCTAAGTATAAACAAATTATGCTAGGCCATCTTATGATCTCAGCAAATGCCATAATTTCCCAACACTGGAAATCACCCACTATTTGAACTGTGGGTGAAGTTTTAACATTTACAGTATTTAAAAGTAAAAAGTATGACCTAGCTTTCCATGAACCATCTACATTTACATCTATACTGTAGCATGAATGGTCATCTTGTCCCACCACCTGTCCGCTTGATCCAGTACCTTCCCACCTTATCAGATCTCTCTCTCCTTGTCTTGTACCATCCTTAACACACATCCTAAATGACTCACTTTCTAAATTCCATCTCCCTCCTCGATCCTTTCCAAGCTGACTTTTGCCCCCTCCACTCTACTGAGACTGTTCTTAAAGTTACAAATTACCAAATTACAGCTAAATTCAAAGGCCACTACTCCATACTAATTCTTCTTGACCTCTCTGCTGTCTTTGACAATGTTGATCATGTCCTCCTCCTTCAAACTCTTCAATCCGTTGGCCTCTGTGACACTGTCCTCTCATGGTTCTCCTCCTATCTCTCCCAACGTTCATACAGTGTCTCCTTTTGCAATGTCATCTCCTCCTCTCGCCCTGTCTCGGTTTGAGTCCCCCAGGGATCTGTTCTTGGTCCCCTTCTGTTCTCTCTTTATAATACCTCTCTTGGCAAACTCATTAACTCCTTTGGAATTCCGCTACCATGTGTATACCGACGACACCCAGATATATCTCTCCTCCCCTAATCTCCCCCCCGCGGTCCTGCAACGTGTCACCGCTTGCCTTTCTTCTATATCTGATTGGATGTCCTTCGCTTTCTGAAATTCAATTTCTTTAAAATTGAGCTTCTTATTTTTCCCCCTCACAATGCTGATCCTCCTCCTTCGCTCTCCCTGCAAGTTGATGGTGCTTGAATCAGTCCATCCTTGCAAGCTCATTTTCTTGGTGTTCTCTTTGATCCTGGCCTCACCTTTGCCCCACATATCCAGTATGTTGCTAAAACCTGCCGATTCCATCTTAAAAATATTGCCCACATCTGCCCCTTTCTCACGCAAGATGCTGCCAAGGAGCTTATTCATGCTCTGGTAATCTCTTGCATGGATTACTGTAATTCTCTCCTAGTTGGTCTCCCCAAAAGCCGAACTGCCCCGCTACAATTGGTAATGAATGCTGCTGCCAGGCTGATCGTTCTCACCCATCGTTCCTCCCATACCTCACCCCTCTGTCGATCCTTACACTGGCTTCATGTATCATATAGGTGTAAATTTAAAATACTAACTCTTACCTCTAATGCTCTAACTAACTATAGCCCCTCTTTCATTTCTTCCCCGATTCATAGATATGCCCCTTCTCTGTCTCTCCGCTCTGCCGGTGACCTTCTCCTGTCCGCTGCTTGCACCTTTACTGCTAACTCGCGCTTGCAGGACTTCTCGCGGGCGGCTTCCTTCTTTTGGAACAGCCTGCCTACCCCCATCAGACACTCCCCTAGTCTTCAATTGTTTAAGAAGTCCCTCAAAACACATCTTATGGACTCCCAGAGTAACTTATCTATACTTACTTAAGTCTGTCAATTGCTCTCCTAAAGAGCCATACTCCACTCTCACCTCTAGCTCTGCTACTTTTCCACCTTGTTTGGTGGCTGTCACCCTTGCTGCCCTGTTGTGTTTTTTGTACCCCACCTCATCTAGACTGTAAGCTCATTTGAGCAGGGTCCTCATCCACCTGTTGTTCCTGTGTCACTGTGTACTTGTCTCATGTTTTGTAAATTTTCCCCCATTTCAGAATATTGTAAAGTGCTGCAGAATTAGTTGGCTCTATATAAATACCAATAATAATAATGATGTGAAAAAAGAATACAGACTTTAACCATGTTCCTACCTGATTGAATACTTGTTCTGCTTAATAGTTTTTGTTTATTACCCAGGCAATAACTAATATATTTTTACTTCTGTACACATTTTACTTGTCTCATATATATATACAAAATTATAATTTGTATGTATATTTTATTTTTATATGTTTTATTCGACAAGATTCATAAGTTAGTGTATATATATATATATATATATATATATATATATATATGTAATTGTTATGTTAGCTGTTATTCTATATTACTCAAAACATTAATAAGTATATTAGGCAAAGTAATATAAATTATTTTTAGATAAGGGATTGGGCAAGGGTATAGTAAATGATAAAAATCTTGAAGTGATCATATTGCTGTATCTGTCATATTTTTTTCAATAAAACTGCTGTGTGAGGACCTTGAGTGCCTGGACTACTTTGCTGTTATTATCTCAATATATTGACACATTCTTACAAGATTTGGTTTAAAAATGTCCAACATATCTTAAGGACACAATGAGTATGTTGAAAATGTTAAAACATTTTAAATGGGAGCAAGATTTTATTATGGCAACCTGTGACGTTAGTAGTTTATATACTAACATACAACATGATAAAGGATGTGTAGCTACAAAGCATTTTTTCAGAAAAACCTGGTGAATTGGAAAACTTACAAATAAATGTTATTTTAAAAGGGATCAATGTCATGGCAAGGGTGCATAAGTCATTGTTGCACTATCGAATATTTATTTATTCATTTATTGTAATTTGTGTAGTGCATAGATGAACTAGCTACTTGGTAGAGGTGGTATTGTTGATTCCAAAAGAGGTTAATTCGGAAGGGAGGGCAAAAGGTTTACAGCCTAAATTCCTATTTGGAGCTGAGACACCAACAGAGCCACTTTGTAGGATGTGAAAAATCACACATAAGTGGCCTGGAGGTCTGGTTTAAATATAAACTAACTCTCTAATTGGACATATGTCTAGATTCCCTTTTAGATAGGGGGTCCTTTGATATGTTAATGGCCAGTAGCCTTGTGTTCCTGTATCATATCCAAAAGAAACATTAATACTTACCCACAGATTAATACTTGAGCCTCATTTTTATTATATTTAGAATGGTACAGGCACAATCTTCTAATGAAGCCCAAACATGATTTGCATAACTTAACCATAGGGGAGGGATTGTGATGTCCACTATATTGGGTCACAAGTAAGGAGTATGCTTATCTATGGAATGGAAAAGTGGTAACAAATTCATAGATGCAATTATTATTCCTGTGGCAAGTCCATAAGAAGAGATAGAACCAAATATTTCCATTTGGATTGATGTTGGTCTGGAACACAAGGGGGTGGTCGCTTATAGTTACTATAGGTACGCCTTATGTCCACCTCTAGGCGAGGCTTGGTAATCCACAGGGTATATATCTAATGATACTAAAGTGTGTATTGTACTTGCCTCTAATATCAACCCCAAAAGGATCGATTTTATTCGTGATGCTAATACTTTGGCATATATTTTAATACCTGTATTTAAAAGTGAAATGGGCCTAAGATTGGCGCATTCCGTTGGTGGTTTGCCAGGTTTAGGAAGAGTTACTATAAATGCTTCTAACATTTCCAATGGTATCGCACTTGATGTTTTAAAGCTATTAACAAGCTTTGTGAGACACAGTGTCAAAATCGGTTCCATTTTGATATAATAGTAGTTAGAAAAACCATCTAGACCTGATGCTTTATGTTTGGGAAGACTCAAAATAGTTTTGCTTATTTCGTCTTCTGTAAATGATTCCACCATTTCTGTTGTTGGCTTGCGGAGATTTTAGCGAGATTTATTTCCTCCAAAAATTTCTCTATTTCAGGACACAGAGGCTGAGCTATATTTGATTCTTCAATTAAATTATAGAGTTTCTTATAGTAACTTGCTAATTCCGCTACAATGTCTTTTGGATTAAATAATTTACAATTATTCATCGAGGTCAAATAAGGGATTTTTTTGATTGTAGATAATTCGATTTTAGCATATTGGCTAGCATTTTACCAACTTTGTTACCATGAATATAAATTTTTTATTTAAGTGCTCTCATATGTTTTTCTGTTTCTATTAAAGCCAATTCATCAAGTTCTTTCTTTACTTTGTCTATTTGACTTCCATTAAATCTATTTGGTTTAAGTTTATTTTTCTCTTCTAGTTTAGATAATTCCTGAAGTAATCTTAACCGATTAGCGCACAATTTTTTTACTGCTTGCCCCTAGTTTAATACAGATACCCCTCATTACGGCTTTTTGTGCTAACCATAGCGAGGAGCCTGCAATGTTATCCCTATCATTTTCCTGAAAAAAATATTTGATAAGTGCTTCCTTAACTTCTAGGAATTTTTTCTCATCATCCATCACTGCCTCATTCATTCTCCACGAGCCCATTCCTCGTCCCGCGTATTTTGCTTGAACTTTAACTATGATAGGTGAATGATCTGACCAAGTTCTTAGGCCTGTGTTCCCTTCTAATAAGTTATTCAGAGTAGGTTTGTCAACTATGCACATATCTAACCTTGAGTATGTCATATGTGCAGAAGAATAAAATGTATAATCTTTAGTCGATGGGTAAAGGCAGCGCCAAGTGTCATATAAATCATAGTTATTAAACAACTT